CAGTGGATGAGTGTGTGGTGAGACCAACCTGCATTGACATGAACAGAGGCTGGCATTTCAGAAAAACAAATGTGTTTGGGATGGTAGAAAGTGGCAGCACATGCCTTTGCTTTCATTAAATACATATTTGGGAATATAGCATATTTATGGGCATAGAAAAAAAGAGAAGATTCTCAAAATTTAAAGGGACATTATACTTTTAATAAAAAAAAACAACAGATTATTTTTAGTGCAAGCACTTTGACATATCTTCTAACCCAAAAGCAAAGCAAGGAAAGGGCTGAACTTTACTGCAGGTACATGCCACCATTGCCAATAGGAGGGAGACTGCTATGGGGTCTATAGGGTCTTACTTGCAAGATCTTTGTGGCAGCAGTTCAGACCTCAGTCTTCCCCCCTGCTTTCAAACCATCACTGGATGACCTCTTGCACCCCAGCAAGGAGCATGGAGAATTTTATGTGTGTGTCTGGGATCATACACTGTCTCCCACTGGATCCTTTCTAAAACCAGGTAGCTTCCAAGAAGAAGGACAACATAGTCAACTGAGCAGCCTGATATAAGGTGTGTGGGTGGGATGGAGAATATGGCTTTGACTACAATTAATATTTAATTCTTTGTATAGCGAAATGTCTTTGGGAAACTGAGCAGTTTGAAGCTCTGGACAAAGCACTCAGCTGGGAAGTTAGGTCAAACCCTTCTTACAGAGCAGGGGTTTCTTGTCTCTTGGCAGGGAGGGGAACACACTCAGCATTATTTCTGCCTTTGTAATCTTGTGAATGACATCTCAGTCCTTTTGAGAGTCCAGCTCAGAAATCAGTGTAGTTGCTATAAAAAATTCTTCAGTGAGCTGTTGCAGCATTTCCAATTCTGATGTATGCATAAACACATTTCATGATATTCACTAAATTTGATCTAAGAGTATTGGTATTTGAATTCATAATTTTCAGTAAATAAATTATTTGCTAGAAGAGCATTACACAACTTTAAGGAAAATATTGCATAAGAAAAGGCAAAGATACACTACCAACTTAGTTCTCCATGGTTTTTGATTAAGCAGGCTTTGTCTGCTGATCAGTCTTATGCTGCACTTGTCTCTATTTAAAGCCAGTTTCTAGTCAGCTCTCAGAGTTCTAAATGTTCATCTGAGGTCACTTTCAGTGCCCACAACCTCAGTTCTTCAGAATTTCAGACTGACCATTTCAATCACCTCTCTTGAAAACTGGTTGCACAGGGTAGTGCCCTTAAATTCCCATCTGACAGCAGGCCAAGCACAAGCGCTCCATGATGAAATCTTTTCCTTTCTCTTTTGAGGACGTTTTTCTGTTTTCCTGTATAAGCTCCTGGAGCTCAAATGAAGAAGAATGCTCCCTGGGGAGTTGCCATAGTAACCTGCAATTTTTTTTTTTTGTTGTCTGAGATTAAATATAAGCAAGGGAGAAATTACAGAGAAGAATTTTATACCTGAGTTTATAATTTTCATATAATACCAAAGCTTAACTGTAGCTCTGACTTCCTAAAGCAATAACAGTCACCTTGAGGCTGATGTCAACGTGGTAATTTTCACTGGAAAAGAAATTAACTGCTGTATTTATTATTCAAGAACTCTGATTAGAAAAAAAAATCCACATCTGAAAGATGTAGCAAATAAGAAAGACAATGAGATCATTAGAAATGTAAAGACATGAAAGTGGGAATAGCTGCTACAAATAATATCTAAACTTGCAATCCATGAATGCCCTGCATATTCTATTTTCTTCTTTATAGGGTTCAGTGATAGTCTGCTCTTACACGTATAGTCAAAGAAGAACTTCAAACTCACATTGTCCTTGGAAAATAACTTAAACTCTCACAGCACTTACAAGGAAGTGATTTTTTAATGTATCAGTATCAGTCCAGCAACAAACATAATGTGAAGATTCAAAATACAAACAAAATTTGTTTTAAGAAGGTGTGACGGAGAAAGGATCCAGCCAATCTCCTGTCAGTTATGAGCATCAAAGGCAGATCAGGAAGTCTGGGATCAGGAAAGGGCATGGGAGCCAAGCTAACAGAAGGGTTGTTTCCATGAGAAATAACCCAAAAGAGCAATGCTGGGAAAAATTGAAGACAAACTTGGGATGACAGCGGGGAAGAAGTGCAGAAGTGGGTTGGGCAAGGAGGGTGTGCAGGAGCTCCCAACCCCTGTTGGAGGGGCAGGTGGCTGCATCTGGGGCAAGGTCCCTACCAGTGCTCACATCACTGTCAGTCCTCTCTATCCCCTGCCATGCACTCTCACTGCCCTTGGACTACCCACAGCAGCAGGACCTCAGACCGGGTTGCTTGGCTGTACCATGAGGAGAGGGAAGAGCCCTGGCTTCGGTGAGAAGGTGAGCATGTGCTGGATGTGCAATTTAGTGCAATCAAATTGCCCAGCCTGTCTTGATTTTGTGTGGCTTCCCTGCAGCTGGCTACTTTGCCCATCCACCCCAGCTCCCAGCATTTCCCAGTGTTATTCAGAGATGGGGGGGAAAATTACGTGGGAGGTGGGAGAACTTGAAGTATCTCTCTGAAGCTTGGGTCGATGTGTCCCCTGCAGTGCAAAAGAGCTGACAGAGCCACTGTCAGGTTTAACTGTCCCCAAGATAATGTCCTTCAAGGCCATATATATTATACATTTCTGTTTATCTTGAAAATATGCCATCTAAACACTTTAACCGTGAGTGACTTTAACATCTTTAGCTGCTGGCACATCATACTCAGTGGCAGGTGGGTCTGGGCTTATGATACTGGAGGTTTTCTGCATCTCCTCTGCATACTTAGGGGTCTGTTCCCCATGTGACTGATTTGCCCCCTGCCCCTGTCTTTGGGCTGTTGGGGAAAACAGAATCCCAGAATATTCTGAGATGGAAGGAACCCACAAGGATCATTGAATCCAGCTCTTAAGTGAATGGCCCAATGGGACTGGGCACCCCAATTGAATGGGGTGGGTCAGAAAGTCTGCAGAGGAAAGGGTGCAAGGGAGGGAGCGATATATGGCTCTGAAAATATGTGGTGTAAATTAAAACAAAACTGCCAAAAATGAGATTTTGGGGAAATCCCTTTTAGCAGAGGAATGATACTATGAAAACACAAGTCTCATGTGTGATTAAGCAGCAGGTGATGTGGAAGACAACCTTGAAAGTCAGATGGAAATCCTATTTCAGTAATATCAAGTGTTACTACAAACAGACCTATATTGCAATAGCCCTCTCCTATATTAGGGAATTTTGGATTTTAAATGAAGCAATAATTTTATGAGCATTTGGACAAGCTTGGTAAGGGGGTGAAGGATGCATCTATCAATATTTGCTCTCAGAAGTAAACTGGAGGAGCCTGGAGATGCAGTGCTGTTTTGTGGATAAGACAGGGAAAGGGGGGAAGCAACAGGTTTTGAAAAGGAGAGGGCAAAAATAGGACAGGGGGTGCACAAAGTGATGGCAGAACTGGAGGAGGTCATGTGTGGTGGTCACCCCGTGCTGAATGCTTGGGGTAGGGACATGAGGGCAAGATTCATGGAGGTAAAACTCTCCTCATGGACACAAAAGCAGAACTACGCTTTCCAAGGAACAGAAGGGCAGCTGGGGGGAGGAGTAAACCTGAATGAAATTTGACAACTAACTTCTTTCTTATTTTTTTAACGAGAAAAAGGCACATTTGTTCTGCTAGAAATGTTGTGCAGAAGCTCCTAAGAATTCCAACAATTTGGTTATAAAAATAGTTCAACCTTAGTTCAAATAATTTCATCATGAAAATCGCACTAATTTAATTTTGGTTAAAACTGCAGAAAATAAGTGTTTCTTTGGCACAAAACATTTTTGATTATTTGGTCATTTGCTTTTTTTTCTTTCATGTAAGAGACTGAAATAATTCATTTGCCTTGGTTTACTTCTGACCAGAAGGTGATTTAAGCTGCAACATTTTGGGTAGAGGAAAGGGGGGAAGAGTGTTCAGCAGATAAGTCTGAGGTTTCTGCGACTGAAATGAGAAGCATTAAAGGTGAGGCCCTGCAGTATGGATTTTAGAGATGAGTTTTCTGATGATGTGAAAAAGAGGCAGATGGACTGTAGGAAAAAGATAAGCAATCACTATTGCAGGGCTAGAAAGCAAGAAAAATAACAGAGCTATCAAAAGGATATAAAGAAAAGGGTGACAGGAGAAATGAAAAAAAGATGGAGAATTATCTGTGGGCTGTGACAGTGTTTGGACCATGGTGATGGGAGCTTGTCAAAAAAACATGCAAAGAGCAACAGAGCTGTCTTGGTTTTGATGTCCCAGCGCTGTGGTTTGGAGTTTGAAATTATTTGTGTATAGTGTATCACTCCATGCTCTTCCTGTTCACAATTCTGTGGATTTTAAGATCAAAACTGCCACAGTAGTTTTGCGGAGCCCAGTTAACACAGGCTACTCAACATCAACAAGAAAATCCTGATCTGAAGGCCAGTTTTCTCTACGATCCTTTAAAAATGTTTTATTTTGTAAAGTTGTTTCAGCCTCATAACAATTTTTAATTTGTTTGTCTGTCAGTCATTTGGGAACAGGTTATTCTGAGGCAAAAGATATTCTTGCATTTTACTCCCTTACAGGTCCATAAAAATGAGGTAGAGAGAGACAAAGGGAAAGTCCAAGGTTTCATCAACAGCTTGTAGTGCTGCCATAGGGGTGCTTTTTCTGCAAATGCCAATTTTCTCAGCTTCTATAAGTTAAGTATCTGGTGTATTCCTTACCCTTCAGAGTCAAAGGGGCAACACTATTGACTGGGAGAACTGATTTATTTGCTTGTTCCTGTTGTTAATGTAGTTTAATTCTGATTTGGAATTTTAGCAGTAAGTCTATGCATTTGTGTTCCCTGTTCTTTCAGTCCTAATCAAGCTTCTCCAGTCCCAGTGTGTCACCTACTCCTTGACAGTTGGCAGTGGCCCCTTGCAGAAGTCCTGGAAAAAGCCTTTTCACACAACCCTCCTCAATTTTCTAAAGAAAGGCCATGACTGCATTTGATTTGAGGAACCAGAGCATGCAGTGTACAGAGCCTGAGACAGACTATATCACCCCTCAGATGAAATCAAGGGATCAGATGTTTGTCTTTATTGATGGTAGATGGGTGAATGAGATCTACTGCCAGCCACCCTGTCCTTCCCACCGGAAACTCTTAAGCAAGAAGGTACAGAATGAGTGGAGCATCTGGGAGGAGAACAGAGCACTCTGGCAGGAAAACCAAGTCCTCCGCATAAAAACCAAGATGCTCTGGGAAGAAAACAAAGCTCTACAATGTCTCCAGTCGCAGAACAAAGCTGTCCAGGTTATTTACACTGATGCTATTCAGCAAAGCCTCCAGAACAAAAACAAGCCATTTCCATGCTTCCAAGAGAGGAACACAGGCTTTTGGTTCAGCCCAGGCAATAAAGCTCTCCAAGCAGTCCAGGAAAAGAATAAAGTCTTTGAAGATTTCCAGCAGAAGAATAAAGCCATCCCTGTTACCTGGAAAGACCGAAAAGCCATCACAGTCCATAAAGAGAGCAACGATGCCCCCTCAGATCTTCAGAAGGACACTGATACCATCACAGCTGTGGAAAAAGGTGGCACTGGTCCAGTCTCCCAGCAGAAACATGAAGGTAAAAAGAAGAGCACTACTCCAACCCAGAGTAAGACCAAGTCTACCACAACTACACCGGCTGAGCATGAAATCGTCCGGGTTATCCAAGACCTATGCGAGCTCCTCCACAACTTCCTGAAAATTAACCATCTCCCTGGGGAGAAACAAGGCTGTCACAATCCCTATAACATGGATGGATCCTTCCAGGAAGATTACAATAAATTGAAGTTGCAGCTAAATGCTGTGAAAAGCACTGTGTCAGACATTAGGGCTCAAATGGAAATGCTGGAAAAGGAGATCATTGCCATCACTTCCCCAATGTATGAAGAAGCAGGACAGAAGCTGTCAACTAAGTATCAGCCTGGGGACACATGAAGCATGGTGCTAAGACCTCATAGCTCAATTCCTGGGAAGCTCTTCTCCTTTTTTGGGGGGTAAACCTAATAAAATCTCAGTAGATCTTGAAGACAACTGGGGAACATTGTGTTATTCTGAAACTTTCTTGTACTACTTAGATGCATTTCACCTTCTGGTTATACAGTGTGGGTGACTGTCATGAATTTGCCTATAGTCAGGAATCATGTTTTTCAGCTTTTCCCCCCCAGGTTTCCAATAATAAGGCTAGATCTTCGAAAGATAATTCATGCTTGAGGATACTACTTGTGAGTTGAATTTGAGTCTCTGGTGGTCACTTCCTTTCTTATGGATGGCCAAGTTCAATGGCTGAACTGTATCTTCTGCCACGCACCAGCATTCCATCTTTCTTTCAGGGTAAGCAGTGGATTATGGAAAATTTAGCCTTCCAGATGACATGGACCCATGAAAGAAAATGGGACACAGAAAACCACACTATATATGCCACCTTCTTTCTGGGTAGAGCCCCAATATCTTCACGAGCCCTGCTCCATCACCCTGTGGGTCCTCGTTGACCAGACCACTGCAGGCAGGTAGAGAAGGGCTGACCTCTCTGCACCTTGGTCCTGCTGCTACTTCTCTTGGGATTGTCACACCTTGTCCTTGTAGTCCCTTTTTGTTTGACTGTCTGATAATTCCTCTGCTGTGTTTTAAACTGTTGATAACTGACTTCAACTCAGCAGTCTCACCGCCATGTGTTTTCTTCAGTTTTGCTTTCAAATCTTGTACAGCTTAGCAGCCACCATCCCCTCTTGCATACAGACCAGCAGTTCACCATTAAGCTGCTGTCAACAGAGCTGACCCATTGACTGGCAGCTCAAAAGTCTGGGCCCTACCCCAGGGATACAGTCCCAGAGGAAATGAAGGGAGGTCAGGGGTACATCCTCACCTATGACAGAGGGGGAGAGAAAGAACAGAGGAGTCATGCTCATGTGGATGCTTAGGCTGTGGGGGAAGCTGCTTATGGGGAGAACTGCCTGCTTTTGTACTGCTGCTGAAGTGTTACATGTAATTGTAGTCCGAGAGGGGTGGACAAGAAGATTGCAGTGAGAAATGTGGGTACCAGCTCATAGTTCAAGGGCATACTCACAGGTCTCTGCTACAAAGTGATAATAAATAAAGGAGGATCCCTCCTCCCAGACATCACAGTGGAGCCACAAGAGAGAATGAAGCAGGCAGCCTGGCTGCACACACTATTGAGGTCTCTCTTGATTTCTTTGATGGTCAGTTAAGGCAAATTTTTACCTGCCCCAGAGCAAGCAAGTAGGTTGCCAAAAATGGCATTTTGATGTCTGTTCCATGACTCAGGCAGGTATTTGGAGGTGCATCTGCTCACGCTCTGATGGACATGCAGTCTCAAGTGATCTGCTGACACAGCAGATAGAGAGCCTCTTGATAGGCTCATGTTTAAAAATCTGATCTAGTCTCAGTTGTGTGACTAGAGTGGCTGGAAACACATTTTCCTCTGTCTTGGACATCTTGGATGCAGTGGAATTTGTCACAATCTTTCAGGCAGCATATGGGAGCCTTCTTCAGAGCATAAGGAGACTTCTTCAGAGCAATTGTAGAAGCATTATTGTAAAGCAAAGGAAAGATTATGGTGAGGTTTATCTCTTGCAACAGGACCCCAACACCATGTTGCCACTCTAGTTTATAGATCTCTAAGTAATTTGTTACCAAATTACCTTAAGCATGAATTATCTCTCACCTTGTATGTCACTCAGACAATGCCACGCCAAGTGCCAGTGATGACTCTTTACTTCAGAGGCTTAAAGCAAGCGACATTTTATTCTGCTGTTAGGACGTCAAGATGCTGAGAGAAATCCCTCATGGTTGAAGGTAGAGGGCTGTCTGTCAGTAGTGCAGGCAGAGCTATATGTGTAAGGATCAGGTGAGAAGAGGAGCAATGTTCATTAATAGGTAGATGTGCCGACAACAAGTTGCTCTGGCTCAATGACTGGATCTCAACTAAAAATAGCTAAATACCTCAGCCCCATACTGGGGAACATGTTCATGCCTCTGTGTCTTCAAACATGCTACTTTTCTCTTAGCCACCATGTTTGAATGTTTGTTAAGAGTGAGAAATAGAACTATGAAGACCCTAATGCAGAACTCTGGAGGAGGATAGCAGTAGTCACAAGCTTTGATTTTTTGGCATGTCTCACGGAGAAGTTGAATTGACTCATTCCTTTAAGGTTTCTCAAGTCTGTCATGTGCTGAGATGGCAGTGCCCATAATGACTGTCCATTACTTAGTCTTGCAGAGGACTATGTGATAGGCAAACTCTCATAATCCCAGGAGGTACCAAACCTCCAGTCTGTGCTTATTTGTTTACAAACCAGAGAGAGTTAGTGACAACAGTGGAGGATCATTTCTGGGTGGTACTAGAAAGGCAGATGATCGTGAGTATTGCTTGGTCTCCTTGAGTATTGCTTGATCTGATAATGCTGGGGGGACAGATGGTGAGATTTGACTGAGTTGGCTGCAGAGTGCCACAGGACTGCATGGGGACAGTCCTAAGCACTGTCCATTCTCTGCATTGTTCCATGTCCCCAGCCAGTGTCATTAATCGCCTCAGTGGGGGCCATCGTAGTATCCTATAAGTCTCCATCCAGAGTGTGTGCTGTTGAGATGGGCTAGACTCACAGCTTTTGCACCCTATTTAAAGTAGAAATGGAGGAAAAATGCAACAGCAGCTATTTATAGGAACTACTTGTTAATTATACTAAAATTTGAGCAAGTTTGGGAAAAATGGGGTAAACTTAATAATTTTCCCTAGCCTGTTCACTGATTTGCAAATCCCTGGAAATTGTTAGCTATTCTGGCTTGAAATGGATGCATGTCATTTTTATAGTGTATAATTTACCTTCTGCACAGAGACAAACTTTCTGTCTCCCTCCTTCTTATTGTTGCTGATTAGCCCCTTATTTTTGCACTACTCATTTCTCAGTACTATTTTTGGAAAGCTGGGTTTTTGGCAAGGTCACCATCAGCCTCTTACTTCCCTGTAAATTGGATTATTGCCTGTAGCTGGGCTTTGTGTAAATGCTGACTTTCCTGTTCTCATTTCTTATTAGACAGTCTAATACAGCTGGGTTTGTGCTGTCTTCATAGAACACTCACCCTGGCCTTTTGTGCTTGTCTTAGCAGCCCAACCACATCTTCCCACCCTAAATTGCAAGTTAGGAATTTTTTCAAAGTGCTTTGAGCTTCCCTGAGCCCTGGCTTTTTCCTGTTAACTGCTGAAGACAGTTTTCCTGGAGTTTTGATTGTGATTTCATGAAGTTGAGGGTGTGCTTCAAAAGCTGTGGTCCTGGCCAAAACCAATGCTTCCCATTGTGGTGCAGGCTGTTCGTTGGTGTTCTCAGAGGGTGCAGATATTTCCCTGCTAACTGCAGAGAGCCTAGAGTGGCCAAGGTTAGGTGGGAAGAGTTGAGGCCTGAGAGATGGTCACATCTATTAATGAGATGCTTCGGCTTGAACTAAGGAAAAAAAGGAGAATTTATGACTTTTGGAAGAAGGGCCAGGTAACTCAGGAGAACTACAAGGATGTTGTAAGGTTATGCAGGGAGAAAATTAAAAGGACCAAAGCCCAAATAGAACTTAATCTTTTTACTGTCATTAAAAAAATGTTTCTATAAATGCATCAGCAACAAAAAGAAGGCTAAGGACAATCTTAATCCTTTAGTGGATGTGGAGGAAAACATAGTGACAAAGGATGAGGAGAAGATTTTAGGCACTTAATGCTTTCTTTGCCTCAGGCTAAAACAGTAAGACTAGTTGTTCTCCAGGTACCCAGCCCCCTGAGCTTGAGGACAGGGACAGGTAGCAGAATGAAGCCCCCCCATAATCCAAGAGAAAATGATCAGCGACCTGCCTCACCAGTTAGACACACACAGACCAATGGGGCCAGATGGAATCCACACAAGGATACCAAAGGAAGTGGTGGAAGTGCTCACCAAGTCACTCTCCATGATTTACCAGCAGTCCTGGCTAACCAGGGAGTCAACTGTTTAACATCCAGTCGGTTGGGATGTTGACAAATGTGACATTCATCTACAGGAATGGCTGTAAGGAGGATCTGGGGAGCTACAGGCCTGCCAGTAGCAGGTTCTGGGCAAGGTTATGGAACTGATCACCTGGAGTGCAATCACACAACACGTGCAGAACAACCAGGGGGTCAGGCACAGCCAGCATGGGTTTGTGAAAGACAGGTCCTGCTTGACCAACCCAGGCTCCCTCTGTAACAAGGTGACCTGAATAAAGGATGAGGGAAAGGCTGTGAATGTTGTCTATCTGTACTTTAGTAAAGCCTTTGACAGAGTTTTCCACAGCATTCTCCTGGAGAAACTGGTTGCTCATGGCTTGGATGGGTGCTGAGTTAAAAAGTGCCAGCATGGCCAGACCCTGAGAGTGGTGGTTAATGGAGTTACATCCACCTGGCAGCTGGTCACTGGAGGTGTTCTCCAGGTCTCAGTGTTGGGGCCAGTTCTGTTTAATATCTTTATCAACAATCTGGACTAGGGGATCAGTCAGTTTACAGAGAACATCAAGTTGGGTGGGAGTGCTGATCTGCTGGAAGGCAGGAGGGCTCTGCAGAGGAATCTGAGTTGGCTGAGGCCAGCTGTACGAGGCTCAACAAGGCAAAGTGATGGGTCCTGCACTTGGGTCAGAACAACCCCATGCAGTTCTACAGCCATTCATGCAGCCTCAGAGTCAGGGATTAGGCACCAAGCACATATTCAGGATTGCCTCTGAGGCTTCTGCCCTGTGCTTCTTGAAGCCTGTTGCAAAACTGCAGCTGAGCTGAGCATCAGCAGGACAGAGGATGATAGTGCAAAAACAGCACAAACAAGTCTCACCAAACTCATTGTAAACATATACATTTTGATTTTTCAGCCTGGTTTCCTCAACCTCTGCCTCTGGTTTCATAGATTTTTAAAAATGTTTTTGTGCAAAAG